TGATAAATAAAACATTAATTTAGGATTCTAATTATAGAACAACTAAATTTGGCTAACAATATGATAAATAAAACATTAATTTAGGATTCTAATTAGAACAACTAACTCTAAATATTTTTCAGATAAAAGTAAATACAACCAATACAAAATTTGGCTAACAATATGATAAATAAAATATTAACTTAGGATTCCAATTAGAACAACTAACTTTTAGATATTTTTAAGATAAAAGTTAATCTTGTGTATACAAAATTTGACTAACAATATAATAAATAAAACATTAATTTAGAATTCCAATTAGAACAAAACTAACTTTAGATATTTTAAAGATAAAACTAAATACAACAAATACAAAATTTGTTTGACTCTGATATACAATAAATAATCATATTAATATTAGATATTGTTATTTTAACTATTAACAAAATTATTATATACATTCTTAGACTGCCATTATTAGCTGATGCAGTACTTTCTAAATTATCTATGGAAAATACTGATAGATCCTCATGGGAAAAAGTTTTATCAGCATTTACCTATGTTGTATCCGAATGTAATGAAGGTGCACGTGCTGCAGCTCAAGAAGCTGAAATGGAAATGATAACAAGGTAATATTCAAATCTAACATTTGTTTTCAAAATTAAATATAAGATTTCAATGTTGATTGTTTTCTTAAACAGAAAATTAGAATATTCGCCTAAAATAAAGCCTATCGATTTAAAAAATCGACATTTAATTAAAAAAGGATCGGTCATACAATTAACTATGAAGGCAGATATGGAATACAAGCTTACATTTGGTAAAAAATTTAACAAAACACCTGTGTACCTTTTTCTACTAACGGATTACCTTCTAGTCACAAAGATTAAACACAAGTATGTCAAACTTAAATCAATATTTTTTTCTATAACAATTATTTTCATGATAAACATAAGTATCTTAAAAAATTCATCCCTGATTTTTTCTTTACAGTACTCACGAAGATGCTTACACTGTCATAGATGTTTGTAAAAGAAATCTCCTTGCTTCAGAATCGGTCTCTGAAGATTCACCTTTTGCTGGTCGTAATGCAATGATATTAACACTGTTAGAAAATCATTGTGGTAAACAGGCAGAATATATTTTAACATGTGAAAGTAATACGGAAAGAGAAAGATGGTTAGAAGCTATTTCACCACCAAAACGAGAATTAGTTGGGGAAACGCTTTACGAATCTTGGGATTGTCCTCAAGTACAAGCTTTGTATTCTTACTCGCCAAATCAACCCGATGAACTTTCGTTACAACCAGGTAAACGATCAAAATATTTTCTTCAAAAAAAAAAAAGAACTTCTATTTAATTAATTATATGTACTTGTATTAGGTGATGTTATAAACGTACTAAGAAAAATGACAGATGGTTGGTATCATGGTGAAAAGCTATTGAATGGCGAACAGGGTTGGTTTCCAGCAAATTATACAAAAGAAGTTGCCTCTGAACATGTACGTGCGAGAAATTTGAAACAAAGGCATCGTCTTTTAGCCCTTATGGGTAGTGTTTTACAAAGAAGAGCGAAACAAAACTTAGCCATGTATTAAAAGTAATCATCCGCGAAAAGTATCATAACAAAAATTATTTTTCCATTTATTGTTTGTACAATTTATGTACATTTTAAATGTAATTTAATAAACATTGTTTAATAAATCTATATATATCTATATATATATATATATATATATCTCTCTCTCTCTTCTTGTTTTATCATGATATAACTTAATAAAATACATGAATAGAACGTGGGGAAAAAGATGTTTCACGTTCAAACGACAAGTGTGGAATGTCCTTCGCATGTGTATCAAAATAATGGTACAGTCTTATATTGATTTTTATAGTATTTTTTTTTTTTTGTTATTGTTTTTTTTATAAAAAGAGTATTGAAACATGATGATAACGTTGTATGTATGTAAATACGCCGATTGAAAAAAGATATTCAATTTTGATCAAAAATACGAAAAAATATTTGAAAGCAAAAGTTACATTAAACTCTAGTCAATTAAAAATCATATATATATATATATATTATATTATAAATATATTGATAGATTTATTGATATTGAATTATATATTATAGTAAATAATATAAAAATGATAAATAAAAATTTGAATAAAATGTAAACATCTAATGAATATTATTACAATAAAACGGCGAATTATTATAACACACTGAACGTTATCATGTTTCTTTTATATTTTTAACTGATAATCAGAGACTTGCTTTCGAATATCTCGATGGCTTGACATCGAATAATTTTTTAACGAAATAAACCTGTATCGTGGTGGTCACTGCAATAACAATTATTTGTGCAATAGACCAAGTTTGAACGTAAAAATTATTATCCAAAAGTAAATTTAAATCTCTCGCTTCTTGACTACGACTTAAATGTTGAGATTGTAGTATATCGTTAATATTCTTCTCCACATTTCTTATCGTACTCTGAAAAAAAAAAAAACAAAAAAAAAAGAAAAACAAATATATTAATTAAAAAAAAAAAAGTTTCAAACAAATATTCATAATAAATGAATTATTTTTTACATACTGTGAAATTTTCAACTGACAAGTTTAATTCCTCCAATTCTTTTGTATACTTTTCCCATTGATCGTATCTAATTAAATAAAATAATAATATATATTTAATTGATATTAGAATATATTCATTATAATAATATTAGAAATTGTATATTGATTTTAATACCTGATAACAGTGATGTACAAATTGACCAATTTAGGAGCAAATCTGGAGAATTGATTGTCAATGCAAACGCTGTAATAACCACCGGTTGGTGTTTGATCCTGATAGTCTGCATTAGCTCTCCATTGATAAGGATATACAATCAAACCTTCAGGATTTCTTACAGCAAATCCAGCCTTTCCATCACCGCCACGTAGTACCTGTTTTTGATAAGATATTTTTTTAAAAGAAAAAATGATAAATATGATAGTCGTTCATAATGCATTCTTAATCACTTTTACTTAACGTTGTTGCTGCTTTTTCTTTTTAATATCATAGAAAAATCTATATTAATTCTTTTTTTACTACCCTCACGCACATAAATAAATGGAAAGATACATTGACACGTGTGAAAGTAAACATGATTTATATGAAAAAAAAAAAACAAGATGGCGAACCGTATGAAATTTGATAACTTGAAAAAATTCGATATATTAAAAATATCAATCAGTTTGAAAGAAATGAATTAAACTAAAATACTTTTGACACGTATTTAAAAGAAACCATATGTTACTCAATTGCTATTACGACTAACCATCAGTTATCTTCCTTAGAATTTCACACAGCACAAATCTTTCCACTCTATCACATTATATATAATTGAATGGGTGTCTTATTTACAGAAGAATCACATTATCCCAAGACGATATGCACTGAAGCACCAAAAGGAGATGACCATGTGTACCTGGAAGCTGACGTAGAAAGTTGCGCCTGGATTTACAAACTGGAAATAGCAATCCTCCTTTCCAGCCTCGATATGCACCTTGTAATCCATTGCCACTGCAGGAAGTGTTTCATACCATGGTTTGATTGTTTCGCATTTCACTAAACCGATTACCACTAAAAAAATTAGATTCTGAACGAGAAAAGAAGACATCGTACACTTCGATATATCCAATCATTACAACGCGACCTAACTACGGTTCTAATACATCACTCACTCCGAATCGACTGACACATGAACTTCCCCCACTCAACTGTTCTTCTTTCTTCTCCGTCTGACACGCGACTGACAAGTGGAAACCTTGCGCATGCGCTATTCGCTTCTTTATTGCGCGCGCAACTAGGTAAGAGAATTATTGCGCGCGCAACTA